CAATCGTACAAGGAGAATCGTACAACCGACCACGCCACTACATCGTTCGACTATGTTTAAGGATCCAAGCTCCTACCAAACGAAGCAGCTTAAGAAAAGTGAAGAGCCCCATGAACCTCTGCCATGTTTGTTTACGTTTTTGTGAAAGATTTGATGCAAGAAACAGACATATAAACACAAAATATTCATACATATTACTTTCGCATGTAGTAATAATTTAAAAAACAACCGGATGGGGATGGAGTCTAGGTTTGAGAGTGTTGAGTTGGTGAGGGTTGGGGTCCAGTGCATATCATAGGGGAAGAAAATGAGTCAGTGATGATACGAGGTGGTTGACTATGTCTCTTGTTATGTACCGTCAAGGACCGGCAGTGCAACAACCACCGATAATCCATGCCCCACTCCACCTAAGCTTATCATTCTAATTCAGCAATAATTCGTGTTTGAAAATATTATATAATACAAAATATTAAATATTAATCATATAATATTTATATTTTAAATAATAAATTTTTATTTAATTACACAATTTAAAAATAAAGTGAAGAGAGATAGGTGTGAATCAGTGGAATCGTCTGATATTAAAGGGTGTATTGATCGAGTTATCCGACAATAGAGACCATGTAAAGAAAATGATGTTTTTGAGTGAAAAATAAAATAAAATTTAAGATAAATTTGATATCATTAAATTAAAGTAGGTGATAATTTGATTAATTTTGACTGTTGTTGTATTTTAATAAATAGAAAATTTATTTTTTTAACTGTAATATTAAATAAATATATGCGAGAGAGAGTGCGCGCGCGTGTGCGGAGAGAGAGAGGTCAAACTCCAAAAACTAAGGAAATGTAATAAAACATGCAAATTAATGTAGGTACAAATAACTAATTCAAACAAACAAATTGAGAGATAAAGACAATACTGAACTGAAAGAGAGGGGTATATATATATATATATATATATATATATTTCCTTATATATCTCCTTTTTGTGTGTTTTGATTCAACAATTTGTGGCCTTGGTATAGACACATTTCAACATTATCGGTAGAAAGGTGAGGGTCTAACGTTATTTGGTGCTATGTGTCATATCTATAATAATCATCCACATCATACACAATATTTATAACCGGAAAGACTTATGCTCCGTTTGATAGGGATGATGAAAAGTAGAAAAAATACACTTTTTTTCCTTTGCGTTTGCTTGGATGGATGAAAAATAAAAATAATTATTTTTTTTTTGGTGCTGATTAAGATTAGGGCTGACAATAGAGTCGAGTCGTGTCGTGTCGGATTTGTGTTGAATCATTACGAGTTTGTGTCAAATATTAGTTAAACTTAACTTAACTCATTTAACTAATTGTGTCATATCGAATTGCGAGTTAACTTATTTATTTTCGTATCGAGTTCGAGTCTTGTTATCGTGTTGAGTCAAAAATTTTCACCTTTACTTAAAATGGAAAAAATATTTTTTTTTAATTTAATTTTTTAAAATTTAAAATTTAAATTTTTTAAAAATATATATATACATATTTTATCATTGTATTTTTATATGAAATTAATATATACATAAGATATATAGACAAATAAAATACATTTCAACACAAAAAATTAACTTTCCATCCACTTTTTTTTCGATTTTGAAGGGATTGATTTTAGTGAATTGGAATGAAAGTTAATCCATGAACTTTTCCATCCTTCCTACTTTTCTTCTTTACCAAACGTGATATTTTATTTATCCTTCTAATTTTTCATCATTTTAACTTTTCATCGTCTCACGTTTTCATCGTATCAAACGGAGCATTATGGTTTTACAAAAAGATATGGGCAAGAATATCACATTACCAATGGAGGAGGGGTGTTTTAAACCCATCCCAATGGTAGTCCACAAATTGTTTCTGAAGGGACAAAATCTAAAGGGTAGCCCAACGTACAAAATTCTCATCCTTACAAAGTCTACTTCCAAAGTCTAGAAAAGGTTAAGTGTACTCAATTTTGCCTTCGGGATCAGTGGAAAACAATCCGTTGCCGTCAACAGATCAAAAGAATGCAAACCGTCCCTCTTTTTGTGATTCGAATTCAAGATACTTAAGAGTAATCTTACCCCTCTAGAAAGGTTATAGTTTACGATAAGGCCGGATTTTACAACATTAAGCTATTGAGCATTCATACATCAACCTGTGGCGATGGTAACATATGATATGATCCATCACTTTCTTCCCTCGTCTCTGGTATCTTACTGCCAAAGATTGGTTTCCACTGCCCTCAGCCGTAGGCTAAAATTAATTGGCAGGTCCTAGCGACAGCTTGCCTCTCTTAAATACATCGTCCTCATTTTCTCTACTTTGACTTAAGAGTGCCAAAATATGACATAATCCATTAATACGATATGAACAAATTAGAAAATTTGAATCTTTCTTAAGTCGCATGTTCCGTAAAAAGCTTTACATGACACGATTAATAAAGAAATTGGGTACAAGCAAAACCAATCAAATAAAAAAATGACACGACTCATTATACATGATTCATACAAGATATGAACTCAATATAACACATTTTATTAGACACGAATTAATAAACGAATCAAATATGAATTGAGTACTTTTTGACATAAACATGCTAAAATTCGATATCAACCCATCTCACCCGACGCAATTGCCAGTGCTACTTTGGCCTGGGCTAACCCTGTGATGAACTATCATCAACTTTTCTCTAGGTTTCTAACATCTCTCGACTGCCAAAGCATGTAACCTCTAGAATTAATTTATGAAACTATAGGGACCTTGCAAGTATTTTAACTTTTTTTAAAAAGTAATTTTACCAGAGAAGCAGAAAAATGTTTGATTTCAATTTAACAAAAGTAACCCATATGCATTTAAGTAAATAAATTACACTGTTATATATGGGATTAAACTTGGAGGAAAAAACCAACTTTGGACAGACAAAAAGCTAAAACTCAACTCATGTTGAAGTTGTGTTACCATCAAAACATAACTATAGGGAAGGGATCATTATAACTAACTAATTACAAAGAACATTGTGACCGTTTGTAATGGTTTTTTGTCATGCAGAGAGCTATATATATAGGGATGAAGCCGATGGGGAATGCGAGGGCTTTAAGGAAGATGGCTTTTGGTTTGACAGTCGTTTAATAAAAAATTATAGGAGATGCAGAGATCCATCCTTCGAATTTTTGGCACATGCATGATCTAACAAGAGTTACAGTGCAACTCCTTTTTTGTGACGGTGGTGTTGTGATTGTTGGTGGGGGGTTTTTACAATCTGGTTCATAATTTCATGTCACATAAAAGGATATTGCGCACTGTAACAGTTAAATGTCTAGTCTCAGGACCATGCCAGATCATGAAGTCAGGGAAATTAGATGACAAAACTCAACGAGAAAATGAACTGGCTGAAGTTAACCAAGCATCCTTGTCATGGCCATAACACGAGTAGAATGCCCCCCCCCCCCCCCCCCCCCCCCCCCCCCC